ATGTCACGACTTACAAGTCCCAATTACTTTTCAATTTTCCTTTTTCAAAGATAAAGCATGCACTAGCTCTGATGTCATCATTTCCACAGATATGTATAAAAACTTAATCTCACATTGCAGATAAGCATAAAAAAGCTATATCCACATTCTCAACAGATTATGTAATATCAACAATATCCACAGATACAGCATACAAGTTGTATCCACATTCTACAAACAGATATGTAATATCAACAATATCCACAGATAAGCATACCAAGCTGTATCCCACTTCACAAGATAAGCATATGAGCTTCTATCTCACTTCTCTAGAACAAGCATATGAGCTCTGTCTACGGAGTTCATCCCCTACTCCTCCAATTAACCTATCCGGTTTAAGAGGTACATTCCCTATCTTCCCCTAAACCGCGGAGTTACATCCCCTATCTCCTCCTCTACCAAACGTAATATAAAACACATTGGTTCAATATACAATCAAACACAATACATACAAATTAATGTAATTCTATCAATCATCAAGTTCCATGACACATTCCATTAATTAGTTTTTCGTTTACTAATCATCATGCATTGTTCCTACAACAATCTGACTATCCTCACGATAACCTATAAAAAAGCAGTTATTTCTAAAACAGAAAAATAAATGCACAAATTGGATATTCAATCAACATTTCAATTCCTCATTTCTCACAATTAATTATCCCAATTAATAAACAATGTAATTAGGCCCATAATTACCATTTCAACCTTAGGTCCCATTTTCATCAATGATTCAAACAATCATTCCATTTTTTCTATGCCAAAATGCCCATCTAGGTTTATTATGAAATAAAACCCCAACCTTTGTAAAATTACACAAAAGCCCCAAACCTTTACAAAGATTACCAAAACCAAAGCCAACATCTCAAAAATACCAAAATTTAATAGACAAAACCCATAAGAGAGGAGTAGGTTATCTCTACCTCCAAATTCGGAGTCCCAAAGGGAAGAAATGACAAAACCCAACGTGCTCCAAAGACACGAATTTATTCAGAATAAAAGGAAGCCCTCGACGATCAACAACTTTCGATGAAAGACCGAAAGGCGAGCAAACAACACCCTACGTAAATCTTAAGAAAGAGGGCCGGTATTAGAGTGAGAAGCTCTGAAAATGACTTTTGGAAAATAAGAGAGAGAAAAGATCTGAAAAAAGTGATCTAAAAGTAGATCTCGGATCTATATAAAAGTCTCTCCGCTTCGAGCGTCAAAACCCCCGCTCGAGCGTCACTCACAGAACTTCCGCTCGAGCGACCAAACTCCAGCTCGAGCGCCGGATACACACTCCCAGCCTTTTACAGAATCAAGGACTCCGCTCGAGCGCCAACTCCCCCGCTCGGCGTCACATACAACACTCCCGCTCGGAGCGGTCCAATCCCACGCTCGAGCCGTCCAATCACTACACAGGAAAATACTAAGGATTACGTTGATATTTTCCGTCTACGATAGCGCCAAGAAACCCCCAGCTCGAGCGACAGAGCAAAAAAATCTGGGCAAAACTAGTTTTGGTTTCTAAGAACTTAACCACCTGCAACAAACCTGCCCAACACATCCTATAACTCAAACACAAAGAAAAGGATGCAAACCAAGATAAACAACAACTAACCCAACATCCAGGACGCACATGTCCGGATCACGTAATAACAAGGGTAAACCCGGGATCGCTATGTGTTGAATTAGGTTTTTTGTTTTTAAGTTTAGATGCAATGTGAAGAGAGAACGAATTCAGTGTTGTTGTTTTTTATTTTTTGAAGTTGAATTTTTCATTATCATTTTTGATGAATTTTCGATAGAGTTGATTTTGATATTTTTGAAAGTTGCCTTTTTCAATTCCTGTCAACATTGGTTTGAGTTGCTTTTTGGTGCTCCTGTTTTTCTGCGTTTTGTGCTCTGTTTTTTTGTTCACTTTGCATTTTTTGTGTAGTGAGAGAAAAATTCAAGTTTGTTACTATAATTGGAACTCAAATCACAGAGAAAATTGTAAGCTTGTAGTGCAGTGAAATCATAGAGAAAAATTGTAAGTAGGCAGAGAAATTTAAACAAGATGTAGCAATAGAGTAGTAAGTGTTTTGTTTTCTTTTTTTTTAAATTTTTTGAATTGAATGTTTTGTGAACATACAGATCTCTCTGTGATTTTTTTATGTGCTTTGTGTTTAAATATATTTTTGTCTTTGATGTTAATGATGTTTTTGTTTTTGTTATATTGAAAAGTGGAAATATAAGTTCACAAAATTTCTCTGGACTTTTCTTTGTAGTCCAGAGAAAATCATATGATTTATTACAAATGATAAGTATTACAAATTTCTCTGGACTTAATGTATGTTTGTGTTTTTTATGTGTTTTTTATGTTTGCCACTTTTCAAAGTTTTCTGATATGTTTTCTTTGCACTTTTCTTTCTTTTTTTGCACTATTCATATTTCTGGACTTTTCTTTGTGTATAAGAGAAAATCGTAGGTTTGTTATTTAATCCAATGAAAATATAGAGAAAATGTTAGGCTTTTTGGGGGTTAGTTGAGTGAAAATCACCCTTAAAAGTTGGTGTCTTGATCTTGATGCTTATTGCTTCTTCAACTTGAAACTTGTTTTTTTGTGGGTTCTGGTGCTGCTCTGCGTTGTTTGATCTAAGATCATAAGACGCAGACACCAGGAGACTTTTAGTTTCTTTTTCGGGTCTCTGGGGTTGTGCTGGCTATCTGCACTTTTGCCTTTCTATAGAATGAAACATAAACATTAAAATCGTAGAGAAAATCAGCAAGGTTAGCAATGAATTACACAACAGAGAAAAATTACAAGGTAGCAACATAAACATGGACAGAGAAAATTACAAATAGAGGAAATTTGAGGAATGGAGCATTGAACAAAAATAAATATGGCCAGAAGAAAATTAGACACAAGACATAAACATAATGTGGCCAGAGAAAATTAGACACCACAAGTAAAAACGTAATTTGGTCCAGAGAAAATTATAATGCCAGAAGAAAATTAGCCACACCAAATAGAGTTATGTAGGTAGCCACGAATAATTTGCTTGAGAAAAATAATGAAGACATAAACATGCCAGATAAAGAATTACACAATAGAGAAACACCAAATGTAGCAAGCCAAAGAAATACAAAACAACAAGAAAAGAAGCTGTCAATAAGAAGCGCCCAAATGCACAAAAAAGCAGTTTCAATTTACAGTTGGAAGGAAAGCAAACCATCATCAGTGGAAAGCAAAGAAATTTCTGGACCTTCCAAAGAATTTTTCTCTGGATCAACCCTAAGAGAAAATCAAATTTCTCTGGTCCAGATTTCTTCTGGAAATTGATTAAAACTCTAATTTGATCATTTGTCATTGGTTTTGCTGCTGCTGATCAATCACAATTTCCTGCACAAACAAATTAAAGTTCTTCTAATGAGTTTGTTGATAGATTTTCTTTAAACTTAATGGTATGAATTTCTCTGGGTTGATTAGAGAAAATTCAAATTTCTCTGGATCACTTTAAGCCTTCCTCTACTACTGCCTCTTCCTCAAGCTTCTTTTTCCAATATTCTTCAAGTAGGGGTCCAAAATATTGCTTTTCCAGAAACAACTCCAATTCTACTAACCCAAAAAATCAAAAGACGTTTATATTCACACTCAGAGAAATTTTGAACTTGAAGATGTTTATATTCAACACTGATATATATATATGCTGACATTGTATATATATATATGTATGTATCATTAATATATATAATATATGTTTGCAACCATAGATAAGATAACTAAAAGTGACTGTTTGATTATGGTTAGAAATGGTCTTAATTGATTATTACGATATATATACTAGTCAAGACAGTAAGCAACAGATTGTGTATATATATATGTATGTATCATATTATATATATACATCTATCAACTCCACTCCACTCTGTTTGTTTACCCAGAAAATCAAATTTGCCGAACTTAGTGCTTTTGTTTTGCTGAATTTGTTTCGTATCGCCGGAAAATACCCAACACCAAGTACCGCATCAACAAAGGAGAATATCCAGTGGACAGGTCAAAAAAATCAACTCATTTGAAGACGAAACAGACGTAGGGTATTTGGTCCAAGAAATTGATAAAAATGTCGCGGGTACTTTGGTTAGGGACCTGAGGCAGTATTAAATCTTTTAATGTCCTTTATGCAGAAAATTGTTATTATTAGGGAGCTTAAAAAAAAACCCTTTTTAAATGGTATTATTATATATATTTTAATATTAAAAAATAATAATATAATTTCATACTTTCTAAGTAATAATTAGAAAAAAAAATTATTATAATTAAATACAACATGAAATATAACTAAAGAATTCTTTGGTCATAACTAAAATAATGTTATAATCAAATAAGAAAATAACATAACTAGAGACACATACAGTATATTCTTTTCAAGTGTGTGTATATTAGAATTTCCCTTTATTCTTTTCAAGTGTGTGTATATTAAAATTTCCCTTTAAGGATAAGTTATATTGACCAATTCTGAAATTTTAAAAAAAATATATAATAATTATATAATTTTTTATTTTTATCTTTTTAGGAAAATTTAATGAATTCAAATAAATACAAATAGTTAAAAAAATATAAAAATTAACAACATATAATATATATTTTTATGTAAAAGAAAAGATAATATCATTTTTTATGTATATAACTAACAAATTATTGATAAAAATTAAGTAAAATGTTATATAAATTGACAGTTTAAGTAAACTTAATAAAGCTATGTCAAAATTATAAAATTTATTATATTTTCTTCAAATTTCAAAGTAACGTAGTGTGTAATTTATCCTTTTAAGGAGCGATGTTTCACAAATAATTTGATAATAAATGCAGTACCTTAATAAATAATTATATTTAAAATATAAATTTTCACTTGGACAAGGCCAACAGATTCATGCGGAAGATGCTATTATTTGGAAGACTTTATTATCTGCCTGTAAAATCCATAAAAACGCAGATATTGCAAAAATAATTGCTGAAGCAGTTCTTAGGCTTGATCCTCAGGATTTGGCCCCTTATGTGCTGCTGTTGAATGTCCAAGCCTCTTCTAAAAGATGGCAGGGTGTTTCAGAAGTGAGGAAAGTGATGAGAGATAGGAGGGTGAAGGAGCCAGGTATTAGCTGGTTTGAGGTGAAGAACCAAGTTCACCAGTTTTGTATGGGTGACAAATTCCATTCAAATTACAAAGTTTCATGATTGCATGCTACATTGCCACCCCAGTAAGAAAAGTCCGTAAGATTTGTTAGTTTGTATTGTATTTTCTCTCTTGTTATATGGTCCACATGACACGAACTATTTTTTTTTTTTTATCAGCAAAAGAAAGCTTTATTGATAGAAAAACATACAGAGTATGGAAACATACATCAATAAAGAGGAGAGTAATAGACTTGGAATTATCATTGGCCATATAATTGATTCTCATTCTTTAGAGCCAAAGCCTAAAAATTTCGAGGACAGTTAAGCATTAAAATCTGATGGAAGTTTTGAGATTCAAATTTTCATTAAATATTGGGATTGCAGTCAAAATTCTTAACAACAATAGAAAATAGGAAATCAAGAACCAAATTGGTTTTGAAAATTCTATCTTAATTACACTCAGATGCTTTATCAATTTACATTTAGTGGTGAATCCAAAACTTGTCTTGTGGGGAAGAAAAGGTCTCACTGTCTCCTATCCTAAACTACTTGTCTTACCTTCAAATTTATCTTTTAAACTGATTGTTTAGATTTTGTATATTAACAAAATTCAAAATTAAGAAAACCTATATTAGTTGAGAAATTGGAAAGTAAATCATATTTTAACTTCTGTTTTTTAAAAACAGAATTTTTTGAATTGTTTCAATTCTATAAATTTACTTATTCATTAAACCAAGTGTTATTTAATTTTATTTTTATTTTAGTATTATTTGTTTGCATAATGGACAAATGGTGGGTGAGGAACTAAGAATTTGTTCCAAAAATACAAATATCACCACACACATGGAATTAAACCATATAAAAGTACCAAGAATGTACACGTTAGCATGATCGGGCCTATCAGAGGTATCCTTAGCCTCATTATTTTCACTAGAGGTAAGCCCCATTGTGTATCATTTATTTATTTATTTACTTTTTTTTGTGGTTTAATTCAGTGTATATAGACTTATTCCATCCATCATTACGCACATGTATACATATGTACCTCTCTGTCTACAGGCATGCTTATTTACCTGGAAGTTATGATACACATTGACATTCTCATGGGCTCATTAGTCAATGTCTGCCACAAAACCTGTAGAAAATTGCTTCACCTCCTTTATAAGACTTGACTTGTGATGACTTTTGCTCTCCCACCCCCAAGTTTACTCTGGTAACTCTTTATAAAGCTAGCAACCAAAGAGCGAGAAAGTAATTCATCAGAGATCATGGTTGGATTAATCATATTTTTGTTCTGCTCATTTGTTTTCACTGTGTGTTTAGCTCAAAATGTTGCCCAAACTTCTATTGAGGCGGCTGGATCTTCTTCCTTACCCCCATCATTTGGTCCCATGTTCTACCTCAATTCAAGTTTTCCCTCAATTTGGTACAACAATGATTCTGATGGTAAGAGTCTCGTCAGTGAAGACAGCTCAACAACCGTGAGAGAAATCTTCTCAAGAAGGGGAGGTGTAGAGTATGTTTGTGGATTCTACTGCTTCGGAAGTTGCACCTATTACTTGTTCTCAGTTGCCATTGTTGGTGGAGGCAATCACAGTGTAGTTTGGTCAACAAATGTAGGCCATCCTGTGAAAGAAGGCGCGACGTTACAGCTTACAGTAGATGGAGAATTAGAACTGCAAAATTCGGATGGAGACCCCGTGTGGTCAACCAACACATTAGGCAAGTCTGTGGTGGGAATGAACACAACAGAATGGGAAAATTTGGTTCTATTCAACAACAAAAGAGCAATTGTTTGGCAGTCTTTTGATTACCCTACAAACACATTGCTTGTTGGGCAGCAGTTATACGAGGATCAAAAACTCATTTCAAGTTCCTCAAACTTATGGGCTCGTGCTTTGTACTTTGCCACATTGAAATTGGCTACCGATTTTGTTACATACGTAGGAGGTAAGCGTCAACCACAAATGTATTATCAGCTGGTGCCAGATCAAACCTCAACCACTAGCAGAGGATCATACTATGCAGAGCTTCAACAAGGAAGTTTTCTTGTGAATTTTGGTACATCTCAATCAATGTTTAAAATAATTCCCATCAATTTTCCCTCCACTGTTAACACTGCATATATAAAATTAGGTAGTGATGGGCATTTGAAGATATTCCATCACAGTAATGCCAATGGGTTGAGGGAGATTGTTGATATGATTACCCATGATTTAGGTGAATGTCAACATCCTCACCCGTGGTGAATATGGCTTATGCAGAAAAAGCCAGTGTAGTTGCCCCATAGGCATTGATTGGGTTCAATATTTTGGGCAGACACAGAGCCAAAATGGAAAACATCAGCAACAGACTCAGATTCAAATACCCTATATGGGTCGCTCTAGGATTGCTTCTTTGTCTTGCCCACCTCCCTTTGACCAGAAGCACTATCTTGTTGAAGTTAGAAATGTAAGCTACTTCATCCTCGTCAACGAAGATGTTACATTTCCAAATATCAGTGACATAGACAGATGCGAAGAGATTTGTCTGCTAAATTGTTCCTATGGTGTAGTCTTTTTCAGGTACAACAATAATGTTTCAGATGGGTATTGTTATACCCCATCCACGGTATTGACAATTAGAGAAGGGCTAATCCCAAACCACAGTTTCGCATTTGCAACATTTGTTAAGGTCCAAATTCCCTATAAGGCAGCAAACGGACAAGCAAAAGGCACTGTGCCTGACACTTCTCCACCTACTTCACGAAGAAATTTAAAAGCAATAATAGCAAGGTCGTGTGCTGGTGCCAGTAGACACCCAATTTTTGACCACTCTTAAGACTTGGGCGCCATCGATTGATTATCCAATGATGATGTTTCGCACTTGTCAAATGCTCGATTTCCTCAGTAGAAATCCTCGGTTTTGATCCTCAAAAACCTACAAACCTTGCCCCACTTTTGGGACCAAAACAACATTTTTCCAAGCCTGACCACCCAGAAGCCTGTAGGCCACTTAGTAGCCGGCTGACCACAAATAAGTGTACGACCGTCCCCTTAGTTGCCGGCTGGCCACTTGTTCAGGCAAAACGGATATTTTCTGCCAGTTGTGCCTGCTATCTTCACAGGTGAATGCACTGCACCAGCTGTTTCTATACTAATATTTTCGAGGGAGTAACATAATTTTCTATATATACTTGACCCCCTCTCATAAAATGGGGTTAGAAAAATTTTGGTGGAGCAAAATTCTTGAAAAAAATATCTCTCTCTTCCTTGCAACCTATACACACCTCACCTAGACTTCTTAAATCAAACTTTAAGAGTTCTTTGTTGAGGTTATTGAGCTTGCATATTAGCTCTTGAGGGTGAGAAATTGGTGGTTTATAACTCTAAGGGATTACTCCTCTTCAAGAGGTATACTCCTAGCTTCTTTCCCTTACTTACTTCCCATCTTCATTTGCTGTCTTTGGGCTATTTTTCAACTGTGTTTATGGGCTGAGGCTTGTGGTTAAAAGCTATTAAAGGTAGAGGGGTGAATCACCCTTCTTTGAACCTTATTTCCTAAGCTTTTACCCTTATGTTTCCCAACTTTTTTTTAACTTTTTCCCATTGATTTTCAGAGGCTAAAAATGCTATTTTAAAGTCCCAAAAATGGAGGGGTTAGCCACCCCTCTTTTGGCTTGTTTGCTAGCTTAATTGCTCCATTATTTTAGCTTGCTTTTTAAACTGTTTTTACCTTAATTCTAGAACTATTTTTAGCTATTTTAGGACAATTTTATGTTGTTCATTTCATTTATGCTTTGTATAGTATAGTTGTGGTGTAATAGTCCTCATAGGTTTGGTGTTTTAGGCATTAGACACCAACCTATTTGAGTTGATAGCCTTTATTTCAAGTTTTCCATACTTGTGTTCACCTCTAATCACCTCTGCAAACTCCCTCATTTCTTGATTTGTTTTTTCCTTGAGAGTCGTTTCAACCGATTGTTGTTTAAGCTTGAGATAGAGATCCTTGTGCTTAATGGTTTAATCTCTTCGGAGGTTCATTACCAAAGGTATGACTTCTCTCTCATGCCTAAAATAACCCTTTGTTTTACATTTCTCTCCATTAGTGGACTTAATGCTCATTTTTGAACTAAAATGACTAATGAATGGAAAGGTAATTAAAAGAGGTAATAAAATTGGATTAAGAGGTAACAAAATAATAAAATGGTTTGGGGTTCAATCGGATGTTAATTGAACCCATTGAGTTTTGAGCCATTTCATACTCTCTTGTGATGATAATGGTTCAAAATATCAAGTCGACCACTTCCCTTGATTAATATCATGACATGGAGAGGTCTTTGTTGGTCTTTTAGCTTCATTTATTAAGCTTTTATCCCTTGATTCATAGACCATCATGCAATGAGTTTGAGTCGATTGATGGCTTGTGAATCAAGCCTACCCCTCATTTGATTTGTTTGATGATAGGAAGAGACAGGGTAGACAAACATCCCTTGAAAATACTCTGTTTGTGCTCTGTTTCATATCTGTTACAGTAGAACAGTGTCAAACATTAGTGGCTGGTCGCCCACCTTACTATATGGCCGACCACTTCTTTTGGCTGGTCGGCCACCTTTTTCAGCCAGGTAGTTTCCTTTTTTTTTGTAGAACAGAGCAGAGGCTGAGGTGAAAAACAGTGCAAATTTTTGATTGCAAAACAACATCATTCTGGCAGCCAAACAGGGGCATTTTCAGGTGGCAAATCTGCATTTCATGTATAAGCACTTCCTCCTTGTGGCTCGTTAATTAGTATCTTGTAATTAATTAAGTGTAATTCCTTCGAACTTGTAATAACTTAGTTAATTAATTTTGTGTTGTAATTAATTAATTGGTTCTAACTTGTAAATAATTAGATAGAATAGTTGATTCATTTATTTTGGGTATTGTAATAGTTACTTAATTCGTAGTAATTAGTTAGGACATTTATTCAAACCGTCTTGTGCGAGGGCAAATATGTAATAATTTGTGTATGTCTTCCAACCCTCATTCTTTCTCCTTTTTATTTACTTGCTTATGATGGATAGTGTAGTACATCATATTTCGTTTAGCATTTTTCATGCTTTGCATCCATGTGTCTTGTATACATAAAAGTTCGGCTCATCATTCTAACTCACATTATTATTTATTACTTCTTTGAAAACGTGCTTGAACCGCATGCTATCAAATTGATTCACATGCCATGTTAGTAGCTGAGTCTATTTAAAGTTATATTGCATGTGTTGCATTAGTCATATTGCATTAGTTAAAGGCATGCATGCTTTTCTAATTCTTTTGCTTTGTTTGGCTTGCCTCAGAGTACTAGGTGAGCACTTATTGCTTTAGCATATCGCATGCATGCGATTGTTGACATGTCAAGCATGATTGCCATGAGGCTAAGTGTTTAATTGTGCATAAGGCCTGTTTGGATGCTGTGGATAAAAGGCTAATTGCTTGAATTGGGATACTTGATGATGTACAATGAGATGCACTTTTTTCACAGTGGTACATATTCAAAACACTTTTCAAAACAAACATAAATCAAAATGTTCCAACTTTTTGCAAATTTAGTCCCTATACTTTGTGTGCATGCACATAGTAAATGTAGCGCTAATAATCGAAATAAGAGCATATAATGTAACATAAGTTCACAATCATGTTAGTAGAGCCCAATCTTTGATCAGGCGAGTGGGGGTGCCCTCAACTCATGACATTGCCCTCATCGTACATAAGTTCCCCGAGGGCCGAGACACTATTAGGTGATATGGATAAGTTGGCCTTTGCAGCAAGTCTCGGAATTTTCTAAAATTTTTCCTTCTTCTTCAAAATGTTTAGGCTGGGCGACTCTATATATCTTGGCTCAAGCAAGTTCTCATTTTGGCTGTTTTGATTTCTAATGATTATAGAAGTCTTTCCAAAAGCATATT